TCTTTTTCATTTCTCAACAAGGAGAAACCAAAGTTTCCGCATGCGCCATCGTTTTACAGTTGAAGATTATCAAATACGATGCAGTTAAGGACAAAAGACACCGTACTGAATCAGTTTAAGGGGAATACACGGAAAATTTGCTTTTTCTTAAATCAATTAGTGATGTTCATTAGTATTTTGATTCTGATTGGTGTGTTATTAAATCTTGAATGTGCTAGATGTTCCTTTTCCCATTTTGTGGCGTGGAAATTTTGCATCAATATCAATTGGCTGGACGAAACAGAATTCTTAGATAAGTTTTGTACTTCCTATTCTGTTAGGCCAGTAGCTCACTAAAGAACCTATCTACAGCCAGAATTAGCGATGTTGTGGAATCACAATCCTGTATCTGCTTCTATTGATTGAAAAAAATGTCAGAGAAATTGAAAGTTGTTACTCATCTGCAGCCCATATCTGATCTTTGCCGTTTGAAGTGATTTGGAATGCAACCGTTTTATATCAATATATTGTGTTTACCATTGCTTTTTCGTGTGTTGCAGTCTGAATTGCTGATGATTTGTGAATTCAGAAAATGAATCTTCCACAATTTATCACCATGTAATATAACGTGCCTTGAGGAAAGTTTGAATTTATATTTTTTGTTGAGTACGAGTTTTTTGGGTATTGATTTAGCGCTTTTGGCTATCAAGTTTTATCAACGTTTTTTTTCTAATTTGAGCGGTTTTGCCAAAATTTCTTTGAGGGATGCTTGTATCAGATCTGTTCTGGATCTTCGAGAGCATAACCAAATAAGTGACAGCATGATTAGAACTTTTTTTGGTTTGTGTTCTCGTCAATTGGTACTCAGCTTGGTTAAATTTCATTGTAATAGTTGTTTTAAAAGAACGCTTGCAGGAAAAAAAAATTTTTTTCGTAGGACTAAATTTCATGCAATTTTTTGGTGGTAACAGTTTTTGGGTTAAAGTTTCCTATCTGATCGGCCATATTTTACAAAATTTTGCTGCGATATTTTCAAAAAATGCTTATCTGCTATTATCTGCTGTTGGATTGCCTCAACCACTTGCCAAATCCTAACTGATTTTTTTTTAGAACGGAAGTGTCTTCTAATCGGGTATTAGACTTTTTCACATAAACAACTTTTCTTACCCCTAAACTTGAAATTGAAGTTACGTCATAAATGAATCTTGGCAACTTCGAGACTGCTTCTCATTTAGCCTAGAGATAACGCGGTTCTGTCTCTAACTTCAGGTCTGGAGTTCGAGTCGCGGCCGGATCTTGTTTTTTTTTTCTGTATGTATGCAATTGATTTTTTTTGTTTTCGGTTAAAATAAAATGTTGGAGTTCTGTTTGTCTGCTTATGTCTTGTCGGCTAAGTTGCTACTTTGTAGAAATTTCCCGCGCCTTTTGCATTTTTGTCTTAGCTGCAAGTGTTTCTGTTGTCTCCTGTAGTTTATAAAACTTAATAGCCCTGACTTTATATAATTTCTTCTAGTGTTTTTTATTCAGAGCTTCAGCCGTCCTAAATATTTTCGGCCTAGTAGCCTTCATTTTTAATGCTTCAATCGCAAAAATGAACGGTTAAAAATCTGGTAGTTTGTATTGCAAAAACTCGATGTTTTAATGCTTAATTGCTCAAGATAAATGTATCTAAACAGTTTTTAATAGCTTTTTTGTTTCAGACTCAATGAGCAGCTTAGAGCAGTTTTTTTTGGCTCAATGAATGCATTGTCCGTCAAATGGCCGCTCGGTAAAAAAATAAAGACTTTTAATGCTGTTTATTGTATTTCTTGACTGTTTTTCGGAATTTTTTTTTTTGGTTAAACTTTTTTTTAAATTTTGTTTTTACCGCCTATTTTTTTCTCACCAGCCTTCAATGCTGTCCTTGCGTTGTATCATAATTGATGCAAACCTTCTTTTTACTTTTGTGTATCAATTCGTGTTTAGCCATTATTTGAGTATTTACTTGACACCTGAAGATCCATCATGACCACAAGCGGATTTAGGGGGAGGGGGGGGCAGACGCTCTGGTTTAGGAATTCGACACCCCCTGTCGACCCAATGGGTCCCCCTGAAACGCTTTTCTAGCCCGTTTTTTTTTCAAAACTGATCATGACCCTGATCATCTGCCCCTGATCATGACTGCTAGCCGTATTGAAACCAGTTTTTGATTCCGAAGTCCGAAGTGTCATTGAGTGATCAGCTACTTGTGTTAAAATTTTGCTCAACTGCGACCAGATTTTCATCAAGTGCTTAGCCTAACTTGAGCTTAATCTGTCTAGAATCACTTGTCTGTTCATTTAACATTCTTGGTCAAACTTGGGAGTTTATTTACTTGAACTCGACTTGTTTTTTTTTGGCTAGAAAGGAAAAATTGAGCGGGACAACAATGGTTCCATGTGGCGGATTCGGTATACTTGACTGCTTATGATTACAATTGATTTGCCAAAAATCAAATTCTGTTTCTGAAGATAATTTTTTTCCATTTTTTATGGATAGTCTTATAAATCCCCATAAAGTGATTTATTTTGTTTCTCTCAGTTAAAATTGTTTCGTTTTTGAATTATGAGACTTGAAATGTTTTTTTTCTCAGCCCAAGTTTTTTGAGCGTTGTTAGTACAAAAGTTTTATACAGGTGAAACAAAATATCGAAAATAAACTGTTGCTTAAATCTAATGCAGCATGCAAAGCTACAAATTTAGGGACTATTAAAGTTGATTTGGCTTGAATCGATTTATCTTAGTTTTTTATACAGCGTTGTTTAATGCCACCAATGAACGATTCGTATTAACTATACTGCAAATTTCCTTGCTCGGAGATGTCTTTTTTAAGCAAAAATTTTATACTGAAATTTCGTGATTTTGAAAAGAAGCTTAAAAAGTTATCCGTCGCAAGTATCGACCTATTTTCCTGTAATCTGGTTTGTGTTGCGCTGGGAACAATTTCAATTCTCGGTATCTGATCCAAAATTTGTTGTTGATTTTTGACGCATCTTGTCTTGTTTTTTGTTCACTAATTAAAACTTGAGCAATTTTGATATCAAAAAAGGTCTACATTTGATGCAATAATTGAAATTAGTGAAAGTCTTTTAGATTGTAATTACAGGCAAGAGCAATGATATTGCAATGATAAGCTATTTTTTTGATTTATCAAAAGCATTCGATGCAGTTACTCACTCCATTCTACTACAAACATTTTACACACCTGCTTGCCGAGCAAAGTGCATGACTTGTTAAAATCTTGAATGTCTGATAAAAAAATGTAGTCTTTGAAAATCAAGGTTCTAGTATTGAAAGCTTAAATTGCGGAATGCATTAGGGTTCAGTATTAGGACCTTTACTTTTTCCTTTTTAAGCTAGTGATTTAAAAGACACTGTTAAAGTTACCTAAATGATTTTTCTATAGAAGATGATACATATTGAAACGGCAAACTGAAAAATGAAGATTTATTTTAAGAGACCTAGTTGAAATTACAAAATGAATCAATGCTAACAAAATAATTTTGGCGAAATTAAAAACTGATTTCACAATAACCAGCAGGAAGTCCGATTTTATATATATATATATATATATATATATATATATATTAAGAAAAAATAATTTTAACCCCACAAATTAACCCCGCAGTATTCAGGAAGTCAAACAATTTTATCTCAGTTTTATTTTCCACAAAAAAAATTCTATGCGAAAAAACGGTTGATGAAAACCTTCAAAATTTTCGTTCAGCCGCGGTACCAACATGGAATCCTTATTGATGAACCTCCAAACAAAACTACTCTGTTCAAGTTGCAAGGACAACAAATTTTTTTTGTTGAGTTTTATCAATAAATCCAGAAAGCTTGAATAGTGATAATAATTAGATTAAAAGAAAAAAATCGCTTTACTTTCGAATTCTTTGCTTAAGAGTTACTCAAGTTGTTTGCAAAATTTTTAAGATCTGAGCGCACCTGCAACTTCGTTAATGGTTTCATCTCCAAATAATTCGAAGTAAAGATCGCTTCACTGTAAAAAATTACAAAAAGATTTGAGGCCGAATACTCTAAAATTGCGTTTGCAAAATTTATTCCTTCGATATTACAAACTTGTATCAACATTGAAAATCAAAGCTTGATAATTAATTTTTTCTATTTAAGAGATACTTATTTGATAAACTCTGAAGTGTTTACACGTTTTTTTTGGTGATTGTTTTGATTTCTAGTTGTTTTGTATATTTTTAGAAATTTTTTCTGGTGAAACTTTCTATTGTGAATTTTTAAAAGTTTTTCGTTTGTAAGAAAACAGTTAAATTACATTCATTGATAAAAGTTTACTAGGATCAATTTAAGGAAAGTTATCATTCGGCGTTTTTTGACAGGCTATTAAGCCTTCAGTACACGTTCAAGATCGGTGCTTGCTAGTTGAATTATACTAAGTAATCAGTTTAACAAACCGTCCTTGAAAACAATTGATTATGATTATCTGCATGACATATATGCCTATTATTTTTTCCAAAGTTAAAATCTTTTAAAAAATTTTCAAATACTTTCCACTTTGTTCATCTTGCATCTTCTGTTTTCATTTTTTGCAGAATTAAAAATTATTTTTTCACTTTTGAATTTTAGCTTGAGTACTTCAATTTTTTTAAAATAGCTCGTCAGTTTGTAAAAGTTAGTAGCAAAATGTTCAAAAAATCTAAAAACAGGTTAATCAAATCAAAAGAAGCATTTTAACTACTGGACTGAAAGTATGCATGAGTCGCTAGAAATTGCTTTGGACATTTCGCTAGAGATTGCCTCGCAAATAGATTTTTAAGGGAACGTATTTATGACCTAATTTAGGTTTTTAACGGTATTGCAAAGTTACTTTCTTAGAGTAAGAAAATCTTATTATTGTTCACGTGACGGAAATTTGTGTAAATGTAAAACTCTAAATTGTTTGTAAATCTCTAAATTATAGTATTCAAACGCAAAAAAATCTCAAGTTTAATCTCAACCACGATTTATAGTTTCAACTTGTCTTTCCAGCTAGTGCTTCTTGCTTGGGTCTATCTCTCCTGGCGTGATGATAATCTGGTTTGGGATGTGAGCCAATACAAGGGGATCCGATTCATCAGATTGGCTCCCACTCGGATCTGGGTGCCGGATGTTGGGTTCATCAACTCAATCCAGAACTTCGAGTTCATCAAAGAAGTATCTCTGATACACGCCAGGTTGGCTGAAAAATTTGGGAGTTTAAAAAGGAACAATTCACTTTGCCGACCAATTACAATCTGTTCATGACAATGTACGAGAAAATTGGTCTAAAAACAATTTTTCTATGTTTTCAATTTTTTCTTAAGTTTTTGAAAAAAATCATTTCAAGCTTGCGATGTTTTTGCTCATCCATTTTGAAAGGGATATGAAGATATTCGATTAGAATCATCATTATAATTAATTTTTTGCAAAGTAGATTCCATTAACTGTAAAATTTATTACATTAACAACCAAATGAAAGGGTCACCCCTTTGGTATAAATTTATGTCATCCATTTTTCGCTGAACAACCTCAAAATTTTTTGCTGAACAATCTCACAATATTTCTCAAATTTGTTTTTACTATGAACCAAGATGATTCTGTTTCAAGTGGTTTTGTTTAAAAAGTTCTTAAGCCGGAAAGAATCAATAATCCACTTTGATAATGCTTACTATTCGCAAGCGTCAAAATTATCTGCTTTAAGAAAAGAAACGAGAGCATTGAAGCAAAAACACAATAACTTGAAATATCAACTGAAATAGGAAATTTCCCGTTTGAAAAAAGTCATAGTCAGATTCGAACCAAGAAACTTTGCCGTCCAGACACATTCGTTACCTGCAGGCTAAGTTGGCCGGGAACACACAAAAAACTGTCTTTACTATGAACCAGAATACAAAAGATTTTGTTTAAAAAAGTTGTTAACCCGAAAAAAATCTATAATCCACTTTGATAACGCTTGTCAATCGCAAGCGTTAAAATTATATGTTTTAAGAGAAGAAACGATAGCATTGAAGCAATAGCAATAAGACAAAAACTAAAAATGTTAAATCGTAAAGAAGTTATTCGTATAATTCAGGTAGTTCTAATTGAAAAAAAGAGAGAACACGTTTTTTCAGTATAAAAGTTTCAGCTAGGCAGATACCTGTGCATTCAAAGGGTTATCAAAAAAATTCAATAACTGTTAGATATAAAAAAAATTCAGTTTCGTTTTAAGAAACTACCCAGATTTTGTACCGTGGATTCATTTTTGAATAGAAGTTACAAAAAATAAATTTGCAGTCAAACCTTGACAGCAAATTTTCTTATCTATTTTTTACTAAAAAAAATGAGTTCAACCAGTTGATATTTCCTAGAGTGAAATTATCCCAAAACTCCCACTGATTGACAATTTGTATATAGTTTTTTGTGCAGCCCTGAATCCACGGTACAAAGTCTGGGTAGTTTCTTAAAAAGAAACTGAAATTTTTTAAATATCTAACAGTTAATGATTTTTTTGATTACCCTTTGAATGCACATGTATCTGCCTAGCTGAAAATTTTATACTGAAAAAACGTATTCTCTTTTTCTTTTCAATTAGAGCTGCCTGAATTATAAGAATAATTTTTTTTACGATTTAACATTTTTAGTTTTTGTCTTATTGCTATTGCTTCAATGCTATCGTTTCTTCCCTTAAAACATATATTTTTAACGCTTGCGATGGACAAGCGTTATCAAAGTGGATTATAGATTCTTTTCGGTTTAACAACTTTTTTAAACAAAATCCTTTGTATCCTGGCTCATAGTAAAGACAGTTTTTTGTGTGTTCCCGGCCAACTTAGCCTCCAGGTAACGAATGTGCCTGGACGGCAAAGTTTCTTGGTTCGAAACTAACTATGACTTTTTTCAAACGGGAAATTTTCTATTTTTAAAAAATTGTTAGCCATTTATTGGTCTGCTAATCTGTCGCTCGCTTATTGGCCACATCCTAGAATCAGTTTTCTGCTGCTACTTTTCTTTAAATTTACTTTCAGCGTTTGACTGACTCGTACAATTTTTTATTCTCTCTACCCTGACATCGTGTTTCTTATTTTTGTTTCGCTAAAAAAAGTTCCTCGGCCCGAAATATTTCGACCTATTGATCATCGGATTTTTTACTTGATTTTAGGTAGTTTCAAAGGAAACACATTTTTAACACTCCCCTTTTCAAGTTGGTTATATATTTATCAATCGGTTTGTTGAAGCTTCTGTTTTTTTATATGGAAACAACTTCCAAATTTTTTGAAAAAGATTTAATTTCTCTCAAAAACCTCTATTAATTTTGAAAAAGGTCTAAATTGAAAGAGCGCATACTCTCTTGTCGGCCTGTATACTACCCGAGAGCCTCTTTGTACTTGATCCCTCTGTCTACAGTCCTCAAAAAAGTATATGGGGTAATTTTTGACCCATTTTGTCAACTTTTTGGTTTTCTTAAGAACAGCCTCTCCAAAATTTGAGTTTCTGATTCAAATGAATACAATGGTTTTAAAAAAAACTCCTGGCATTAGCGACTACGCCCAAGTTTTTTACACATAATTTTATTGCCCTCGGAATAGTCAAATAATTGATTTTTGATCAATTTGTGGATCTGTTAGACTCTTTTCAAAAACGAAACTCTCAAATCTAATATGGTGCGCTCATTGGAAATAACAGTTATTAAAAAGAGCTGCTGCATTAGCGGCCATCGCAAAGTTTTTTATACTCAAAAATTTATTACCCTCAGAAAAGGTCGATTTATTGACTTTTTGACCGTTTTTTTAAATTTTTTAGATCTTCACAAACACTTTTCTACCATATCTGAGTTTTTGAGTTCACTTCAAACAGTGGGATGCCGGAAACTGATTTATTATCAAAAATTTGACTAAACTATCGGAATAGTCAAATCTGATTTGTTGACCGATTTTTGGTGTCAAGTCTGATATCATAGTTTAATCGAAACAAGAGGTTCTTAAGAGCCTACATTCAAAATTGACAATGATCGTTTCCTATAAAAAATTATAAGACCTTTACACACGTCAAAATTGTGAAACTTTGAAACAATTTTTTTGGAAACTTTTCGACTTTATGTGAAAACCACTGTGCCAGTTCTCAGGGTGTGTTCATTTAAGAATTCTGGTTTGGGGAATATTTTCTGCTTGAGCTAAAATAACCTGCTATTTGAAAAAAAAATTCAATGATTTGAAAACATTTTTGACAGTTTTATAGATTTTTGGGCCGTTTTGTAGAAAATTTCACAGTTTTTTTTCGAAACTACACAATCAATTGAAAGACCCGGTGGCAATTATTGTTTCTGCAGAAGCGGTAACTCCATTATTTTGTGGAAGAGAAATAGTAACTACTTTTAAAATTAGTAGTCCTAAAATTGGTTACTCCTATCACTTTTATTATTAGAGAAACAGTTAAGGTTCTGGGCAACGGCCAATTCTTGAAGTTATATTTTTCGTGCCGTATCAGTATAGCCAATTCATTTAGTATCAAGCACGTACATCTATCTTTAGCTAACCCCAGTTGTTTTTCATCGAGGCAAACGAAAATCGAGACATGAGTTCAACTAGTTTTTTTTTCAAATTTTAAAAAAGTTTCGACTTATGTTTTTTATAACCACTTGGCCTCTGTGTCAAAAGTAGTTTGATTTTAAATTCAACTCTTTCTAATTTATTTTGTATTTTGGCCCATAAGCCAAAACTCCGTACTGTAAAACGGGTTTCACTTGAACGTTATATGCTTTTAATAATTGATTTTTATATAGAATTTTCCTCAACCTGTAATACATACCACAAAATCAATCATAAAACTTTACTAATGGAACGATTGTTTCTCTTCGATAGCTATTCCATTCATTTTTAGGTCTGAAATCCCGCTGCTCTTCTTAGATATTATCATTTTTGTTGTTTTCTGATCAATTATATCCAACGTTTCCTTATATATTACGGTTAATTCACTATTTCTAGTTTTTGTTTTTGTGACAGTTTCGTCTGATAAAAATTCAGATTACTTTCACTTTTTCTAGTCTAATATCAGTTTTATAATCAATGAACAGAAGCTGGCCTAATATATGGATCCCTGTGGTACTCTGGTACTCCATAATTTACAATTTTTTTTGAGATCGGTTGGCTTTAGTGGCTACGTTTTTTCAATTTTTAATGGGATTTCAGAAAGTTCAACACGGATCCCATTGTGTCACATTTTTCGTGTAAAGCCGCGTGGTCAGCTGTATTAAAGGCTTGCTTAAATTCAATGAATGTGCACTGTATCATCTTGGTCTTAGAGTTGCAATATTGACGCACTTCTTCTACTATGGTTATCAAAGCATCAATTGTACTCATTTTCGATCGGAACCTAAACTGGCAATTTTGTAATAATTGATACTTTGTGAGATAATGGTTTTTTCTATTATAAATGACCCGCTCAAAATTTTACCTAACACTCGTAAAAGAGATTGATGTTTAGAGTGAACTGGATGGGTGTGGTGTCGTGGACTGTGCCTGTTCTTGTGAGGACCAAATGTGACATGGACACCTCCCACTTCCCTTTCGACACCCAACAGTGCACTCTAGTCATGGCTTCATGGACATTGAGACATGTCCATACATACCACATGCAACAAGCAAGTCATAATATCTAATCTTTTCATGGCTTCATGGACGCTCATACTAGTCCACACATACCATAAGCAAAATGTCTTCATCAAATTTTTGTAACTTCACTTACTCTTAGCAAAATTAATTCGTCAATGGGGATGGGGGTTGGACGCTCCTCATTAAGAGTTGAACCTCGCCACCCAAACGGTTGCTATATGGTACTATTATACACGCAGATCCTGATAAAAACTTTTTATCGCTATGACGAGCATTTGTTTTTATGCTAGAGCAAAGATTAAAAAAATAAGTGCAGGTAAAAAATTTAGAAATATTAAAATAGAGCAACCTAAATTTTGCATGAAAATAAATCGAAACTGGTATATTCTTTTGAATCATTTGGTTTTCAGGTGCAGGGCATGTTGATGGCTTCCCATTCGATCAATGACCACCCCGAGTGGTTTCTGGTGACTTCATCCCACTCTAGAAAAGTGTTCAGCCCCTCCCCCTCTCTCTCCTTCTCATCCCTGCATTTGCACTACACGTTCCAACGAAGATCGAAGGTAAATACTGACTCGAAACAAAATGTTTATTCTATTGAAATTCTGTTTTGGAGGAAAGCTTTCACCCTAATACATTTAAAATTCATTCACAATTATCAAGCTTGACATTTTATAGCGGCTTCATTAGTTTTCAAACGTCTCATTTTTAGTGTGATTTTCTTCCGAAAACCAAAGAAATTAATCAATACGGAAAAACGACTCAATGACAAAATGAAAATGGCCATATTAAGCGCTAATGTCATTTTTTACACCTACGGTTAGAATGGGTATTGTAATCGGTTATTCTACTTTTTCCCCGAAAACTACTTTGTCCTGTGACAGAAATAGAAGTGGTAATAATCAACAATGGTTTGCTGATTAACCAAAGCGGTTTGCCTTAATAACGGCTAAGAAAAGTTCGAAACAATAAAAAGGTGTATTGCATTTTTTCCATGAAATTTTCTCCCGGTTTCAGTTGACATTATGTCGGCTTAGTTTCTTACAAGTTATGCAGATTAAACTGCAAGCTGGATGGTAATTTTAGTTTTTTTTCTGTTTGAAGGTTCAAAATCAGCAAAAAAATTACATTTTGGAAGAATGATCACAATTGGTGCAAACAAGACTTTTTCAACTTTCCAAAAATTAGATCAGCTTAATTTCCAATCAAACCTTATAAGCTATATCGTTCAAGTTTATTTCTTTTTCATTGAGTTGTGCTTTCGATGGCAAGTTCTGAGTCAAAATAAATCTGATGATCCATATTTTTCATTGGTTTTTTTGTTTGTGTTATTACCATTACAGAATTAGAAGTTGCAGATGGTCAGATCTCCATATTTTCAAACGTTGAAGCATTAGCAGTGGCCACTACTGTTGTGATCAATCAAGCTAGCTAGCTTGTTGGGTTAAATTGCAGCAGACTAATTTAGATTCTTAATTAGAATTTTTTGTTTTAAGCGGTAATATTCTATTTCCATCAAGGTGAGACATGCAATTTTTTTGTAAAAGTTTTGTCGAAACGTTTTGGAGCTTTCTAAAATTTGTGAAAGTTTGTTTTGTCTCTTTTCAGGGCTGAATCAGTTTTTTAACATGAACGACTTAGAACAGCTTTCAGCAGATCAACTCTTTCTGATGGCGTAAGCAGCGTTTCATGCTTGGCCAATATAGTTTTTCAGTTAAATACCTTTGAAAAATACCGGCTAGTAGATACCAGTGAAATGCCGTTAAAATGTATGTGTTACGTCTAATTGCGAGCGAGTAAAGCGATAGAGTACCGTTCGTTATATAGAAAACGTTATATAGGCAGAAAAAATCTTGATTTTACTAAAATATAACTAGTTTTAAGTTTTTTTAGCGGATCCTTGGCAATAAAAATTTTCTTCAAAAAATATTTTAAAAATTGTACAAGAAAACGAGAAAAAAATAGACTCCTGTAAATTAATTTTTTCAAATAATTTTGTTAATTATTATTTTAAGACAACTGTTGTCGATTATGCCTAATTTATTAAATTCTTACGCGTTTGTATATTTCATTCATCGCACTACGAACAAAAACGATACTAATTTGATGAAATTAGTAATTTGAAGAAGATTTTTTGTATTTTTAAGACCTGCGAGAGCAAGTTTCTTGTAATCGGGAACTAGACTTTTTCCGTAAACACGTTAAGTATAACCTATCAACTATGCTTTATTATTGAAGCTTGGCAATTTTAACTGCGACTTCTCTCTTGGTCTGGAGGTGCTGAGCTTGCCTTAGCGTCTTATGTTCTGGAGTTCGAGTCCCGGCCGGATCTTGTTTTTTTTTCAAAGTCTAAAATTGATTTTTTCCGAGAAAAATAGAATCTAACTATACTATGTCGATTATGTTTTGTCGGCTTATTTGCGACACCACGGAATATTTCTGTGTTGAGAACAAATTTCATTATAGCCTTAAGTGTCGTTGATTAAATCCTGTAGTTTGTGAATTTACTTACCCTTACTGGTATGTTTTCTGTTTTTTTTTGTATTTTTTTGCTTAGATACTTTAGCCAGCCAAAAGATTTCGACTTTTGTTTTGTGGGTTTAGTCAAAGTTTTTGCATCGACCGTAGAGTAATAAAGACTAATATTGTTTTAAACAAACCACGTTGGTTGAAGTATAGAAGTTAAAGTTCAAACAATTCAGTCGCTCCTTTGCTCCTTTGTTTTTTTTCGTATTAATGTGCGTCTAATCACTTATTTTTGACTTAGTGAAAGAGTAGTATTGTAATCCGCCGTGTGTCCTTAGGGGGGGGGGGGTCTTTTCGACGGTAGGGGTCTTTGGGGTCCTACCAAAAGTAGGGTCCAAAAGGACCCATCTTTTTTAAAGACCCCAAAGTACCCTGCCCGAAATAAAAAGACCCCTCTCTTAGGACACCCGACAGACAAAATACTTTGGTATTTATTTTCGCGCGGTGGTTAAATTTAATCCCTTCCAAACTTTCCCACCACTAAATAAGTATGGGTATATCCGGCTGCGGTTTTTTGGCTTATTTTTATCTAAAAGCTAATCCTTTTCGTTCATATAAATATGAGTTTACATAAAGTACCATTCATGTTTCCTTTTAAAAATTTTTGGTAATTATTGTTCGTTTCTCTTTCTTATTTTATTTTCAAACTTATTTCCAAGTCTCCCTTAATTTCGACTTGCACCATTTTGATTCTTTTAGCCTTACTATTAGCTTACTTTGGGAAACTTCGCTCCTGCTTCAATCCTTCGCTCCTGCTTCAAGGGTAAGTTGCAATTACCAGTCTCTTTTGCGCCGGTCTATTTAACTTAAAACAATGTTTGCTGAATGTTTTATATTTACAAATGTACAGCCGTAATTCCAAGTAACAAGGCAATTTAGCCGACATTTTCAAGTGAAAAATTTTATTGGTCAACTTTATCAAGTTTTCTCCTTTTTTTCTGACTAGAACGAACAGACGCTTCTGTTAGAATGAATGGATTATTGATAGGCGGAGGGTCTCTTGAACTGCTAGCTGCGCTTTCTTCTTGAAGCTCTTCCTCCGTATAGCTTTCTTGAAGAAAGCCCCAATCTGGGACCCGGAATTCCGGCGATTGCCAGCTTTCGCTGTTTTCGCTGCTATAAGTCGGGGTATTTGTCAACTGTGAGTTTGCCCACTCGCTTTCTTCCGCAATGGCCTCGAAGAACACATTTTCTTCTGTAGACCTGTGTCCAAAGGGCAATGTAGCTATCCCGTCGAATAGTAAGAACCGCTTACTATCGAAGGGTGAAAGGGCAAACATGAATCTTTTCGACAAATCCAAAATCCTTGCACCAATTATCATGGGTTTGTCCCACAAAATACTCGTTACAGCAAAACAAACAGTAGCAACTTCCTCGTCGATTATCTGGAAGCTTTTCATCGTACTCAAAGCTGTTTTTTGAAGCAATTCTCTTTCATTTCTAATAATTTCTAGTTTTTTGCGTCCTAGTTTTGATTCCATAGTTTTACCGAATGCTGAATTTACGATGAGCTTGTAAAAGTTCTCTTCAAATTTGTTGCGCGCTGACATTCTCAATTGAGTGTTTAAATCGACAAAGGGCTCCATCCATCTACCTTGACAAAAGTTTAAGACCTTAATCAATTTGGTAACTCTTAAGCCTAGTTCTATGTAGAGTTTTAATGTGAGGTAGTGCAGAACGTAGCCTTCCTTTGGATCTAATGTTTGAACCAGTTTTGGTACCTTTGGTAGCGACGTGACCCCCATCTCCCCTAACATCTGTATTTGCTCATTAATTAGTTTATCCGTGCCGATAACTTCACGTGAGGGGGCTAGAGGGTAGTCTGCAAAGTAATCTTGAAGTTCTTCAGGTATACTGAGATCCACTTCCAAAATGTATCCCCACTCAGATTTATCGTCGGTTTACAAAATAAACTCGAGACTTTCCTCAACTATTGAGAAATCTTTGATGGGAAGGGGACAGTGTTTCATAATACCCCCGTATAAATTGTTAGCGTCTATATTCAATAGATAGCTAGGGGGCTCTTCAGGATTGTAGTCTTCGAGGTATTTGTTGTTGGCTTTAAAAAAACGGCGTGCATATATCGATGACATCCCTCCCCGTATCATTTTTTGAACCATGTTCAAATGCTTCCTTTCAGTAAGTAACTTGAGGTCTGCATTGCAGACTTTTAAGAATGCATCGCCCGAGAGGTTACTAGCCGTGAAGTAGCATGCACAATCTAATCCGTACGTTTCGTAACAAACTTCACGAAAGGCTTCGAATACTGAAGCGAGTAGTAGTACGTCCGTTGCTAGGTATACATCATGGTACTCGCCTAGTGATGCGCATTTCATTTCGGCGAAAACTTTAATGGCATGGTTGTACTGATTTTTCGAAACACTTATTTCCCCTCCCTGTAAAGTGTTGCTCCACATTTTTCTAGGTGGCAGTCGGGTTTCTCGAAACTTTTCAAAACTACTAAAGTATGAATACGGGTAGAAACCTTTTTGTTTTAGCAATGCTATCTGTTCTGATGAGTAACCAAGTTCTTCAAAGTAATTTTCCAGTAGGAAAATCTTTCTTCCGGCAAGTATTTGACGAGTTTTGAAAGGGGGGACAGCATGAATTTATAGGAGTCTATGAAACGTAGATTTTCATACACTTTTTTGAGTTTTCCGTTTTTATCGGTGTATGATTTGATATAGACCGACATAGTGAGTGATATATACTTCTCCTCAGTCGAAGGGATCACTGAGTAAGTGTTTTCGGGGTTACTGTTTGAGAGCGCTTTTATAATGAAATGCAGATCATAGTTTGACAAGTTATGCGCTATTACGGGTATATAATTCGCCGTTTTTCGATTGATATTGCATTCGTTATGCGCCCACCCCAAGAACTTGTTGGTATAGTGACAGTGATCAAGTACAACTTGGTCATTGTCAGCAAATTTTGTTTCACATATCCAATAAGTGTGCGCTTCTTCACGCGTGCAACTTGGTGTGCCAGTGAACGTGTAATATTTTCGTTTTTCGAGGTATATTTGTTTCGCCAAAGATTCGAGCGAGGCGATCAATTCCTTCATAACATTTTCTCCTCTCTTCAGTTCAAACTTGAAAACTTCACGCTTCCCAAATTCAACAACGGCCAGAGCGTAACCGCATGGTTGATGAATCTCTAGTGTTTGGGTGCTAGATTTTTCGGGGTCGGGTTGCGGTCCGTATACGGGTAGTAGTAGCGATTCGAGGTCAAAGTAAATAACTCTCGGTACATACCAGCGGGCAGTTAAATTTTTGAAACGATGAGTGTCCTTTCCCGGTTTTGGCATAGTGATTACCACTCCCTCGTCTTGGTAGCACATTTCTTGGTGCCTTTGTAGTGTATCGATGGATGAACATGTATGGAAGCATTTGCGGCAAATTTGGTTTCGGTCTCGGTGTAGTTTTCCACGCACATATTCCACAACCCTCATCAAATCAGTGATCAGCACATAGTGATGAGTCTGTCCGTTGCTGAGTAGTAGTAGGTCAACACATAGATCACTTGAGTATTTGCTGGACACTCTCAAAGGTAGCAATTCACCTTCTTTGTACCTAATGAAAACAAACAATTGAGTGCTCGGGTTTCTGGATGAACGTAATGTGTTATACATGATTAAACAAACGTTTTGTCAAAAAAAAATCAATGCTCACCGGAATACATTGACTTGACAGTTGTTAAGTTGTTCAAATCGGTCAATATCATATAGTCCCATTGGCATCTCGTACCAGCCTTCAATTTTCACAACATGTTCTTGGGAGAGCTTGTAATTTTTCAGTTTGTTTCGATGTTGGTAGCTTTGGGCAGCAGGATAAAGAGCAGTTGTGGTCTCTGAATATCGATCATGGTACGCGGCCACAAAGCAGTATAGAAAGCACTTCTGATCGTTTCTCGTTTTAATGTTAGTGAAACTCTGTTTCACCGGTTTCAATGAATCGGGAAGGTCAATGTATGAGCCAGCACGGATAGGAGAAAAAGCTGCAAAACTTACAGCCAGCTTTTCAATGCGCTCCACAATCCAACAGCTACCGTGAGAAGCGAACGTGTTGATGGCATTGACCATATGCTCA